TGGATGGCCAGAAATAACGAAAGGTAACAAAAACATCCATATCTTTTCAAAATGCAACATATAAGTTGCCAGAGTCTGTTTAAATGAAACATCATATTTTATATATATTTTTTACTTTTAAAATACAGATTAATTAGCTTAATAAGATAGTTGGGTTTTTTTTAATCTAAGACCCGTAAAGTTGAAAAATCAAAAATACTTAGCTACTGCTACAAACACAATGTTATGAACCAAAAAGATTATGAATCGAAATCCGATGTTGCATTTCAGCTTTATTAAAGTAAAATGGTCCTCCTACACTATCAAATGAGAGTGATTACAGCTCCAGAATAAATAAGGAATAACAGTATCTGCCAACTCACTTCACATGAAGGAGTCAACTCGTGCAGTCATTTGTCGGGGCAACAAGAGGAGTTGTGAATGTCAACTTGATACAAAATACCCAAAGAAGCTGATTCTCTAGAGATGCGTTAAAAGGCTTATCTGCTCTCTGTCAATCAAGCCCATCATGCTGGTGGGTGGCGTTTTATGATATTACAACAGCATGTGATCAATAGCGTTAGACTAGCTCTACAGTCCTGTGACACTATGCTGATTAGGCAGATCTTACAGAATAAAGTACTCTTTCACCAATCAATATCGTTATAGGCAAGTCAGCCCTTTCTACAATCAATGGTTTCAATCTAGGCCGGCAAGCCTCAACATGGCTTCATACTGGACTGGGCCACTTGCAACTGCCAGCTGATAGCAGATGAAGGCTATCTATTGAAAGGCTGATCTGCCCCTCTTAATCTCTGCAATTTTCCATGGTTAGTGACACAAACCGTGTAATAAGAGAGACGTTGATCTCATATATCACATCATCACATGAAGTAACAGAGACACCAGAACTATTTTGCACTGTTGTCAGTAATGAGGGCCCTTGGGTCCTTGAGGATTTGGGCTGATTACTTTAATCAAAAGGTCCTAAAATCTGTTAATAATATAGTTTCATCATAAATAACTGTAAACAAATCTTATATCCACTGATATACACGCAAGTGATATTCAGTCATTCACAACCTTTCATACTTTAAAATCATACAAAAAATGTCTAAAGGCCTAAACATGTTCTTGGGCACAAGATTTTAGTGATAATATTTGGACTATTGTTAGCATAATAGCAGAGCTCACTAGATAGAAAGGCATTTTACATTGCTAGGCTTATCAGAAGTGGTTAAAGTCACACATGGACATTCAACAGGATTTGACAATGCCACAGTTGTATGTAAAACTGATATATTAACTGCAACTCAAAATGGTTGAAAGTTAGAGGACACTGACTGTTATCCAAAAAAGTTTTTTCTTCAAAATTGGTAACGATGTAGAAAAACGTCCTATGGAAAAATGATAAAATCTTGAAAATGTTCCAGATGGTCAAATGACAACATTTTGAAATTTCTACATATGGCACAGAAGTAACATGTAAAACCACCTGAAGACCCCACTGGTGTGTTGCAAAGTGTGTCCATGTAGACTGTATGCAGACAGCCTAACTAACAAGCCTAAGAAACCAGTGTGGGATGAAGCTTCAGCAGGATCTATACCAGCTCCTAATGCCCTGATCCTATCAATACATTCAGTTTCACTGAACTTCCTATTTTGACACTAACGAACGTGCAGACTTATTTCTGGGTACTAGTCTTATACCGAGTATACTGTTTATACGCACGCGGTAAATAATTCCCAGATTAATCAATATCTCCCCAGGGCTTAAGCTTTTATATTGGGATTAGAAAAGGAGCGAGCTGTTTATAAATCAATGTTAAATAGTGCACTCATTCACCTAGAACTTTGGTCCTTTCTAACAAACACAATCTGATTGAATATTCCAATTTTATGACAAACAGATGTAAAAAACATCTTGATCAATAGGTTATGCTACACTGCAAGGGTAAGTAGTGGCCGCCACGTTTCTTTCAATGATCAACCAACTGGATCCGACCAATAAATAAATGGATAATATTAAAATCTATTTTTATTCACCCACCCACCCACCTGTTCGGCATTTTAATAGATTACAAAAACAGCATTATACATCTACAAAAGACAATAAAACCAACAGCTGATACTTCAAATATTAAGACGTGTAATACCAACTAATCAAAATTTAAAGAATAATCTCAGTCACTGAACATAACTAGCATGGAAAGCCCAAGTTTAACAAATTGTCAATGTACACACAAATGTACAATTCTTTCTTCCAAAACAGACCAACCACAACAATGCCTGTTCAAGGAAATGCCTATTATTTCGCTAATGACAGCAATATTCAAGCTTTATCACACCAACTGTATATAATTGTGCCTGGCCCGTGTTCCACAAAGTGATCGGTGATCGTAACTCCCATATTTAAGCATAGCTTTACCATCATCTAAGCACTGAGATTGTTTTGTGGACTGGGGCTTTGGACCAGGCAAACCATTGACGAAAGTATAAGTACTGATCCACATCATCTGGGCACTGAGTCTGAGCACCCAATCCTCTTTAGTCAGCTGTGATGGGATACTGGAACATTCTACACAGGAATCCCAATCCACATATATATTTTCATTTCAACCTATCCATGCTTATCTATCAGAAAAACTCTTTTGTTATTTTTTGTAAATGTAAATAATCAAGACAAGACTAGAAAATCCTGTGATTGATATCCTGAGCAACGATCCACACTTTCAGGGTAGGTGACACACTCAAATTGTAGACTTCTATCCTTACCCTGAATTCACAAGGGTTTGACACATTATCAGTGTTATTACAAGTTTATGTATAATAAGAGTCTGCTCATTCTGTGCACAAACATGACATGAATTACTATTAGAATATCAACTAGTATATGATCCATGCAAGGACACTGTCAATGTAAATGAAAGATTGGATTGAGGGATAATATTAATAAGGATGATCTCTAAAGGACCAACTCTGTATGTAGTGAGTTTTAGACTTCAGGAAGTAACACAATCAAATGTGAGCAATATGGATTCACTGATCTTATATTCATGAACCAGGCCCACTGTTTAAGTCATGAAGTGGATAACACACAATTTCAATCAATGTGAGGCTGTGCAAGTTGTGGCATGACTTGTTTAGTGTGACAGAGCTCTGCAGAAACTGGCACCTGTATTTTAGTGTTATAGGTCAAACATACTCTCAATGATAAACTAAATGGGTCCATATGACCAGCAGGAAAGACCAAATTTGAAAAGTATTCAGACATATGCAGACTATTGAAACTAAAATGAGCTAGTTCTACTGCTGGTGAATTGAGTGAGTGAGTGAGTGAGTGAGTGAGTGAGTGAGTGAGTGAGTGAGTGAACACCACTTTTAACAGTATTTCAGTTAATGACTGGGAGGAAAGCACGAAGTGATGCAGGTCTCAGATGTTTACCACTACGGTGAAACCCACGAGCAAGGGTACGGTGCTGACAAACCTAGAAACATAATCAGGGCGAACCGGGATTCGAACCCACAATCATAGGTTTTTGGCATGCCAAAGGGATGCAACTCTGCACAGCGAATCGCAGCGCCTAAGACAACTGGGACACCCGTGCCCCCTGTTGCTGCTCTACACCTGCCAACACCTATGGATGGTTGTTGTTGTGTTGCTGGAACACCACACACAACAAAACACTCAGTATACATATGTACAGGAACAGAGAGATGTTATAAACAAAGAACATGAGTTTGTTGTCTTTCAGGTCTTCCACAAAATAAGTGGAAGTAAAACAAAACAATTTGTGAAAAATTCACTCAATGTTACTATTGTTAGATTGATTGACACTGACAGCAACTTAACTTTCTGCACCAGTCAAGGAACACCAAGAAAAAGATATGCGAAATGCAAAAAGAGTCTAAAATAGGTCCATTTGGAAAGAAACCAAAAATCTATTTTGGGAAACTACACCATTCAGTTCAATACCTTGCAACTCTACATCAACATTTATAGTAAACATAAATTTAGCAACATATAATGGCAAAACAAAGATTTCCCCCTTTATACCCTACAAAGAACAAGTGCAAACTAGTGCAAACAACACCCCAGAGAAACTTCGATAGCTAGCACATACGTATCCTATAATCAAAGCACAGGCAAGCTTTGTTGGAAACCATGCTGTCAGCAAAATCCCGACCATAGCAACATTCAAGCAATATCAGTGGGCAATATATAGAATGAGCTTCATATTTTGTACCCAATTTGGGAAACATGAACAGTGGCTATCCCCATAATGAGCAGCCACCTCAATCATGGGTCTATGCCACTGTCTGAGAGCCCATCCAAACCTGCCTGCAAATGAGGATCAGAGATTTTTTGTCATAGCCATAAGAAACAAAGCAGTGAGCTCTTGCTAATACATCATGGAATGTCTTACATAATAGAAACTAAAAATATATGCCGGATGTAGGTCATGGGCCACAAAGAAAGAGTTGCGTGTGATGACTGCACATGATGTTTGACGTAATACACTGTTTCACTCGGCAAGGCAATGGTATGTACCCTGTGCAGTTCAGCTGATGTCAGCAATGCATGCAACGCTGTGTACTGACGTACAGTGCTGGTACCGCCCTTATCTCAGATAGATGAATATGATTTCCGGTATGTCACAGTATTTTGTATTGAATGTTTTAGAAACTGAGTTAGTTCCCGCGATTCTGGGCAACATATATTAATCTGACAACCCCCTTAATGTTTAATCTCGAAAACTAAGATTCACAAATCCTTTCGACTTTCATCAAAAATTTTACACACGTATTTTGATATATGTTAAGGACATATTCTTGAATATCATTTGACTCTCCACTTGCTTTTGTACACAAATATATACTGACACCCTGCAACCTACCTTCATCAGCAGTTACATGTCCATGGACAAGCTGCATTCCGTAACACATAAGTATATACGATAAATATGCTATCACTTTATACATTCACTAAATCCACAGATAATCTGTGAGGAGACATTTACCTTGAATTGTCCGTTTGAAGAAGGCTTTGCACGCCTCACATGAAGACACACCATAGTGGTATCCTGATGCTACATCACCACAAACCAGGCAGATTCTCTTCGTTCCATCTGCATTGTCCGACTCAACCGACAAAGTGCTGGTACAGAAATCCATTTTGCCATTCTCCACACTACAAGGCGAGATATTTCCACTGTCGCCACTGTCACCGTAGGAGCGGTCAGACCCATAGTCATCATGGGTGCCGTAATCTCCGAACACATCCCGTCCGAAACTTTCATCAAGAGATGGTTGTGAACATCGACTTAATCCAAGAGGGCTGCTAGGTTCACATTTTATACTGGAGTCCAGATCCATACTTGACCATAGGGAAGTGGGTGGAAAATCTAATGTCCCGGAACCCTGTAACAAACAAAAACGATAAGATGTGCAATCCTGGCACAAACACAACTGATAGTCTCTGACTGCATCTAGATGCATCACAGCCGATCTACAATACCATACATTCACAGCCTTGAATATCAATGCCCTGAAGACCAATAAGAATAAATTTTTAGTTTTATTACGAATTGTATGAATAAGCAGGCTTTGAAACAAAACAGATCCAAGGATGGTTCTCATAGAGGCTTATCATAAAATTTCTAAATAACATTTATGATTAACCAAAGAGATTAACATGAGCATTGGCTTCTAAATGTTAATGAGCATCATGTCTTAAAAACAGTTATTCATGAAGCATAAATGCAGATTCAGTGAAAATCCGGCTCCAAGTTCCTTGCCTCCATGAAGCTGATGTCTGTGCTAGAGCAGCCACTGTAAACACTGGCAGTTCTTCTTACATATGTACAGGTAGCAGAACTCCCCATTCTCACACTCCACAGCTAATAATAAAACTGGCACTCAACCAATCTGTGTCATCACTGCCTGTGTTCCATGAGTGAACGTAGGAGATACACATCTATGTTCTCGGTTTCGTGACGTATGCTAGCCAACATTTACGTATTACTTGTGTGCATCATCGAAAGACGTCTCATGTAAGCATGACGCTCTCAGGTGAAATGGGAAACCACAGTAGCGTGCGGCTGCATACCATTTCAAGGATATATCAGGATCTAACAGTAAGTGCAGGAGGGATGAAAAAAGTGTTCAACATAGTGTTTATCAATATTTGTCCTGACAGACTTGGCTGAAGCTCTAGCACATCTGTTCTATCGTTCCCCTCAGGGAGCATGGGGGATTGCTAGCTCCATATTTCACAAACATGACCAGAGATGATAGGCACCATGCCGGTATGGTACTGAAAGAAGCTGATGTAGGCCAATTTTAATTAGCCAGTGCTGGTAGGTGATACGAGGTATTTATTACCCCTTACCTGGCATATCAAGACTGGCAGAGATATAAAACCTGGTGTTGTTTGCACAGCCCCCTGCTGGGTGCCCATAGGTTGTGTTTTATCATCATGATCTTTGCTTATCACCACAAAATAACAATACACATGGTCCATTGAACAGATACCATTACAAAATTGTACTCGGCTTTGTGCTTACCACATTTTTCTATCAAATTATACCATTATCCACTCCTAGACAAGATAGACTGGAACTCGGCCAGGGGAGCCACTATTAAGATTCCTTCCAACTAATATACCAGGTACTCCAAAAGCAGGGGTAGTAATTCCAGCAATTCATGCTATTATCTTCTTTGGTATCATTTATCAACTGGAACAAACTTCACTGCTCCCATAGGAAAAGAATTCCCTCAACAAGACAATGATTCCTTTGCAGATATTTGCATACTACTCCTCACATCATAAAACTAATCTATTGCATTGTTTGATCAAGTTTACAAAATATCTTCCAAACCAAAGTCCTATGGATACCATGAATTTCTGTTTTATTCTTGGCAATAGGACAGCCATAAGTTTCTGATACTGCATCATCACTACATCAAAGAGATCCTCAGGACCTTTTAAGCACTTCTACATGTAACACAAAAACTTTGTGTTCTTTAACTCTTGTGCAGAGTAAATATTATTCTACATACCAGTCTTGAATGGACCAATTCCTCGCAAGACAACAACTCGAACCACCTACACTGAGACAAACCTGGTGATGGGGAACGTTCTCTGCCTGCACTGGGAGGCTGGTTGTCAAGTCTGAGACTAGTTAATCCACAGACACAAATACATAACAACAACACATCCCCCACATGCCACAAAACTAGCACAGCTAATGCATGGCTACAAATAGATCACACTGACACTGCTGGAAGGATTCATATATTTCAATGAGCTCATGTGAAACATAGTCAAGTTACATGTTTTATGACATATGGATGGACTACGAAATATCACAAAAATGATCATGTACAGATAGATCATACAAAAGCACACTCACATATATATGATACATCTCATGACATCTATGCTACGAATGCTGTGGTATGTCATGTCCCCTGAACATCACTAGCATGACCATGACAACCATGACTACAGCATGTTATACCACAGCTGGTGGTCTACAATCACTAAGCGGATGACATTACCTTACACTGTGAATCCATTACTGTCGGTGCCACACACAACAAAATCACTTATTATGCACAATGTCAAGAGGACCACAAACTGAATATATGCCTATGCTAATACTCCTGGATTATTTCTGTTTTCTGTTTCAAACACTGACAGCTGCACCACAGCCCCTGCATCTCAATTAACTGTTCAAATTGCACAGCCATTTCCTTCTCCACTTCTTGTAATGCTAAATCACTGTCACCAAAACAAATCCAACAGTAAGGAGAAATTTATCAGAATGTTTCAGCCGAGGACGACAGAAAAATATCAGCGGGAATTAAATAGGTGCATCAACTCCGATGTAGCACAACCTGCTTGTGATGGAATTAGATGTTAGAAGATATCCTGACCTGAGAAGGTGGATGCAAGGGTGCCCTGAGATTCTTGAGACACCGAGTTGGCAACAGCACGGGAGTCAATGGTTCTGTCTGCTGGACACTTTGGCTTCACCAGGCTTGCACAATCAATATATAGGATATGAGGAATGAAAAGCTGTCCCAGTCCACAGCTCTGCTGCCACCTCTCGCATGGAAGATTGAAACTACCACTGACAGTAATTCACTCTGATTCCCTGTGTAGTATACTCTCATTACATGCTCCCAACTGTCTTGGTAATTGTGTTTTTTCAATGCATACAGAGTATAACCAATTCATGTTTGGAGTTGTACAATGATTCAATCAAACACATCAAAGAAATCAGATAGCTGTTTTACAGGTGACTAAGCACTGCAGGAAAGACAACTTGAACTATCCGTGTGTTGACGTCAATGCTCTGGGGAGGGTATACTTTAGTTTCATATTAAACAGAGCAGAGCATTTACAGCAGCATAAACAACTTTGTTGTAAACAACAATAAAATTGAAGCAAAAGCACCTATTCATGTTCTATTCCCCCACTCAGCGTTAATGCTGTATGTTAATATTACCTAGCCTCGCCTCTGCTTTAAGTACATAGAGCAGGGAGCTTTATCAATATAAGAAGAATGCCTTTTCATGAAGTATACCATGCTCAGGACATTCAACTATGTTTCAAACAATGCATGCAAATTTTTAACTTTCACCTCAAACATCTTTCAAATATTAGCCTTTGAAAAACACAGCATGCTCTTTTCTTTATTTTTGCTGATAACATGGCATGGGTGAAAGCAAATGGTGTGATGATTGTAACATAATGAGACTTGTAGGTGTACTTGTGTGTACACACAAGTGAGCCACGCTCCAGCTGTCAACCATTGGAGATATGGGTCATAACTGGTAGCAGCTGTAGGCTGGATGTACAGTCATGTGAAACATCCGGGTGTGCCATCTTCAGTGGAGTGTGCAGCTCTGACATAGGACGACTTCTCACTGGAGCGTACTATGCTCACTTGGGTGTGCTGTCCTCACTGAAGTCACAGCAGGGTGTGCTGTCCTCACTGAAGTCTCAGCAGGGTGTGCTGTCCTCACTGGGGTCACAGTAGGGTGTGCTGTCCTCACTGGGGTCACAGCAGGGTGTGCTGTCCTCACTGAAGTCACAGCAGGATGTGCTGTCCTCACTGAAGTCTCGGCAGGGTGTGCTGTCCTCACTGGGGTCACAGAAGGGTGTGCTGTCCTCACTGAAGTCACAGCAGGGTGTGCTGTCCTCACTGGGGTCACAGCAGGGTGTGCTGTTCTCACTTGGGTGTGTTGTCCTCACTGGGGTCACAACAGGGTGTGCTGTCCTCACTTGAGTGTGTTGTCCTAAATGGGGTCACAGCAGGGTGTGCTGTCCTCATTGGGGTCACAGCAGGGTGTGCTGTCCTCATTGGGGTCATAGCAGGGTGTGCTGTCCTCATTGGGGTCACAGCAGGATGTGCTGTCCTCATTGAGGTCACAGCATGGTGTGCTGTCCTCATTGGGGTCACAGCAGGATGTGCTGTCCTCACTGGGGTCACAGCAGGGTGTGCTGTCCTTACTGGGGTGTCAGTAAGGTGTTACCTTTGCCATATTTATGTCCTCACTAGGGTTTGCTGTTGCGCTGTCCGTGTGCTGTTGTCATTGGTGTGTGTTATTCTACGAGGTAGCTTTCCCCACTCTAGGATCTGTTGACAACTGTGAAGTGTCCTGTTCACACTGGGGTTGCCTGTCCTCAACAAGGATGTACTGTCTGGATCAGGATGAGCACACCTAACTCATCAACCAGGGTGCACTTGCCACATCGTGGCTGATTAAATAACAAGTTTGCCTTGACATCGAGCATATGCCCAAGTGTATCACTGTTAACTTGGAATCATGTAAATAATAAATAGGAATATCCCACCAGCTCCAAACAATCCCAATTCCTTGTCAAACATATGAATGCATTAACACCACAGCAATAGACCTAATCAAGTCTTTATTAACAATTCAAGACTCATAAGATATTCTACATTCTCTAGCCAGAAAACCCAAAACGGCAGTTACATCCTACTTCAGGGACTAAAACATAAATCAGCTGATAAAACATTTGGTTCATTGTTTCATCACAACCATCTCAAGTGATTCAGATAAATCCGACTCGCTACCATACAGGGCTTGGTATTTAGGCTGCTGCAGCAGATGTTGGCAGCTGTTGGCAGCTGTGGGAGACGGCCAGGTGCGCTTTATTCACAGACAGAGACATGCATAAATAGCCATCACCTGACCACAGAGATAGCTCCCCAATTCAGACCAGGTCAAAACCGATCCTTACACTCTGAGGCTACATTATGTATGATCAGGGACCAGACCAGACACACACTGACCAAGGGCCTCAAGATATGGCTTTTAATATATGTACATATGTACATGTACAAATGTACAAAGGCCTTGACTTTCAGACACAAAAATATGTT